ACCCTTCAAGCTGTTTGAATAAAAAAGATTAAAAAAAATGCATGCAACTTTGTCTCCAACCGTTAATACATACAATAGTACGTAACTCTTGTTCAGGCAAAACTAATAGTTACGAATGATCATGCTAAACAAATTCAGACAGTTGGAGGCTACAGTACAATAGAGCCAAGGAACATGAAAACTATTTCCTTTCAATTCAACATGTAGGTGTATTTCTTAGAGGCAGTCCCAACGCATCAAATTTGACAAATCGACTAACATGCAATACCAATTGTTAGTGGTCTAAATCAAATCATGTTTGTGACATTGTAGTTGTAAATTACATATAAAACGCATTTGGATTCGTAATGTAGCTATCCTGATCGAGCAACATCTCAATTGGAAACCCACCAATCAACCGACACTTCATGTTCCCTACTATGGAAGGTACTGCCTGCCTTGGAAGAACCGTAAGCATGTCTCGATGGAAAATGTACATGAAACCTATGTATCTGTAAAAGTAGGAGAAAGACCTCAGTGAGCACCTCCTGCTTGCCAAAGTCCAATCAATGTAGAAGACAGGCATTGCCTGGCGACAACATGGTTGAACCACCACGAGATGTGATAGAAAGATGACTGAACAATTATTTTTTTCCCCTGAGATCGAGGGCAGTGAACAATTAGAAGCTGTGAGGTTGCATAAACCTGATAGCACGTACCGAGCTATATGATCATAAAAATTACCCCATGTACTCCTGATAGTTTGTAGAATTTCAGGTAATATGTAAATTAAGCAATAGAGCAAGAAGTAGGCAAGATCCAGAAGAGAGGCATATCATTCGTTCCAGTAGCACACGCTCTGATCCAACTGGCACCTTCAAATCCGTAGGTATTTGAAGGGAAATACTAAAAATAAGTGAGCACTACAGCCCAACAGTCGAATCCAGAATCCAATCCACCCACCTAGTCCAAATCCAAAAGAAGCAAACAAGGAAGCAAAGCACACGTACAGCTCTCAGTCACAGCGCCATGCGCCCACGGTGCGATGCTATATCTAGAGAGAGAGAGAGGGAGAGAGAGAGAGAGGCTATTAGTGGGATAGAGTATAACAAATACAACGAAAAAATCAGCTGAGGAAAGCCTTTTCTATGCAAATAGGAAAATACTTGCAAAGTCCATAGATAATTGATATTTTAAACATCTCTATAATATGGCTGCCATCTTGCAAACCAGTCTGAAACAACAGGTGCGGCCATAGAAAGTGGGACAATATAAGACAACTACATTGGGAGCAGCTAAAATCTGCTCTTTATTTTCCATCTCTGATATGTATTCACAAAGAGTATACCAATGAGTTGCCTAAGAAAGTCATAGTACCAGGAGGCTACGTATTAACTACAGTGGTCAGAAAGAACAAATAGGATTTAAAACATCTGAAGGAACCATTCAAACAAGAACAATCTATTATTTAGGTTTGGTCATGCATACGCACGTACACATGAATTTGAAACAAGAAAATATACTGTAAACATTTCAGCTACGCTAACATGAGAATCAGGCATATATTAAACCACATTAAAACTGGCCGCGCGCGCGCGCACACACATATACATAATACACACACACTGTAAAGTCGATAGACAAGCTTCTGGCTACACAGGACAAACCAAACCACAATTCTGCAGTTGAGGAGTTCTAACATGTATATGTATAATGCTGACAAAATGATGTTTATGAGACAAAAATCTTCATAGAGATAACAACCCCTAATATCTGGATGCCTCCTACTAAGCAATGAGTAGGGGCGAGCCCAATCCAAAGTTATATATGTATGTAAACTTATACTCCATATTCAAGCGACAGAGTTGACATTAGGTAAGAGCAAAATCACATTTCAGATAGAAAAGTCATATTCATTGTAAGAACCATAGGATAGGAATCAAAGAACGAAGCCAATGTACGAGGGTTCTCTCGTAGCTGCGTCGTGTATTTGTTTGGATGTTCTCTACTTCCTCTTAATGAAATACGTGCTATAGTGCACGTTCGAGAAAAAAGAACGAAGCCAATGCATAGATATAGCCTAGAAATTTAAGGCAAAAACTGACCCTGATATTGCAGTTCACCAAGTAATAAATTACCTTGCTAACAAGCCCAACTACAAATACATCATTGGCAATGTGGTGTGCTCAGTAATAGAACAACCGATAAATTGTATGAAGCAAAGACATCATTGATAATGGATGCATGCTGACTAACAAATGGATAAAAATGTGCAACTAATATAACAACATTGTCACCACAAAAGCACCGAAAATAGCAAGATTCATGGAAGAATGAAATAATTATGTAATCATCACTGCACAATTCCATTGTCTCCGTCTAAAAAAGATCATCATTGCACAATCTCCAAGCCTCAGTACATAACATGAATGAAACAACGTAATTCTAGCTTTGAATCTGGACATGTTTTTTTTTCTGGACGGAGGGAGTATGAGCCTGCTCAATATTTCCATATTCATAATGGCATTTGCTGGACTCATGGCAACTTTGTTGCTTGTCAGAAGAGCTCTGGTTGCTTCTCCTTCCTGCCTGCTCCACGGACTCTCTTCTTTTTCGAGCTTGCTTATATAGATGGTTTCAATGGAGTCGTCACATGCACCCCCTTAGGTATGATCTACTTCTTTCTATCTTAATGCATCTTATCTCTGAGTCCTCTTGCAGCATTCATATCACATACATATTCACTGGTTGACTGGAAGATGATTCTCTTCTGCTAGTTTCTAAATGTAACACAGAGAGGGAAAAACACGGGATTTTCATCAGAAGGCCATACCTTATAGGAAAAACTACTTCTGAATGCAAATGATCCACCTCAGTATATTATACTACTTTATCAAGAAGCACTCATGACACCACTTGTTAAAAACTACTAGCTAGTGTGTATAACTGTTTCTTTAATTAACTTCCTTTTTGGTCCATGTTCTTCTGTGGCCGATAATTATTATATTGCATTATGTTCACACACCCCACGCTTAGATTATATCGTACTTTTTTCACCTTGTATGTAAATACTTGCTCGGGGCAACTTTGTATCTGTCAAACAGCTGTTACTGTATATGCATGATTCTTTTTTTTTCTCTCGAACTATATGCATGGTTCTTGTCCCCCTACCAATGAACTCTTCTTTTTTATTTGCATTGAGACAATATATTGATCATAGCAGAATGATTTTCTCTTTTGAAACTCATTTAATTTGATCTTCTCTTATTTGTTTTCATATATTCATATTTGTCTTTTGTACTCTGGATCATCGCCTCCCTAGCTGATCCCTTAAACATTAGCCTAGGATGCACCACTTTATTACCTGGATATTTGAATTCAACACTGCTGCAATGAATGCACTGTGCAGTATTTTTTTATCTGTATGATTTTGCGTTCTAAGACTTACTACTAGAAGTTAGAAGCAGCATAACTTGCCTCAGCCAACCCAAGTCTCATAGTCATCCATGCTGGTCCGCTCTTTGCCTGCACAAAGTCCAGTATTTATTTCCTACTTTATGATTGCCCCTTCCAGCTCAAATTTCTGATTTTCCTCTTGGTCTATCTAGCTTGGGCTGTGCCTCTTCAACCTCTTTCACTAACCAGGGTCTAGATGACTAATTCCTGGTTGCACATCTCCGATGTTATGTGCAGATTAATATGAGGACAAATTGGATTTTTCAGTTGCCTTGTTTCTCCTGTTGTTGATTTATAGAGATTGGTATTGTGTTATGCTTTGATGGCTTGGAGTGGGCCGCTGGGGGCCATGATGCACTTGTTCTAGGATATGGACAGCTTATGGTATGGTACTCCAGAATTTCCTATTCTTTTTTGTTGGGCCAACAAATAGATTAAGAGGTTCCTGGCAGTTTTTCTAGACCAAGACAAAGTAATACAATTCTGTCCTTGTGGCTACGTGGTTCCTCGTTTGTGAGGTGTCTTCGCTATTGCAATTGTTGCTATAATTGTGATCTGTTTGCACTTGTCTTTATATAAACAAACCTGATTAATTCCATTGCTATTACATTGTCTCATTCTTTCAGCAGAAATTAATGTTTGCCTTTTGTTTCTTCTGTTTTCAGATGAACCAGTCACTGAGGCCTACAGTGTCTTGGGTTTCCCTCTTTGGTGGTCTACTCGTCGTAGTGGCAAATGTATGCCTCCCTCCCCACCTCTCTGTTGCATTGCACGATCGTTCAATTACCTCATCCGAATTTGTTGCCCGGCTTCCTATGTTTTTGCAGTGGATTCCGTTTGTAAGACATGCCACCGACGGTTTAATGTTCCACATCCTGGCATAAGGAAGATATTTGCTGTGGACACAACAATGTAGATAAAGTCTGTGAAATGTGTTATCTTAGGTCTGATGTGCTGCATCCATACCAGGAGAATTTGCCTTTGGCTATCACGATCCTTAGCTAATGAGCACTACTACGGTCACAGTGGATAGAAAACAAGATTCTTAGTTTACTGCTCGGTTGGCCCGTTCGGCTTACCTTAAAAGCCGACAAAACTGTTTATGCTTCTGCTGTAGACATGTGGGGAAATGTTGATCTTTTTCACTGCTGCAATTTTTCTTTTTACTGAGAAAACTGTATGAACTGTGGTTGTGATTTCGGGTTATCAATGAAGACAACTTTGACGATCGTGTCTTTAGATTATTATATGGAGATTGGAGAATCAAGTGCATGTCAAGAAAAAGGGCAGATAGGATCAACGCGAGTTATACCAAGTGTCCAAGGCATTGAAACACTGTTGGTTTCGTCCGGTGAAAGTCTAATCTTCTTTCTTCATTAATATTGTACATGTCACTGTATTTGTTTAGATGACATCTCATCACTACACGATGTTATGCTTTGATGACATCTCATCTCCTGCTTGCCGGCATCTAATCGTCTTTTTTTTCCCGATCGAGGCCCAGCATTGCCACGGGCTAATCATAATCATAATGGAGCATCTCCCAAACTATCTGACCAACCTAACTAGGTTTGCTGAACACCATCGTTACCGCTTTGCTTTTGCAGCAGATGCTCTTGCCCGCGGGCCATCTCCTCTCTCAGCTTGTTGACCCTCCCGATGACCGCCTCCACCGTAACGTCGACGGCGTCCCTGAGCGTCTCCAGCTTGGACCTCGGGTCCGCGTACACCAGCCTCGGTATCAGCCCGATGACGGTCTCCGTCATCCGCTCCGCCACGTCCGGCGGGATCCTGCGGAGCGTCTCCTCGATGCTGACGTTGCCGGCGCGCACGTCCGCCTCCGGGATGAGCACCGAGTACGTGTCGTGCGCCTCGGGGAGGTGCCACCTGTACTGCGTGTGCGCGGAGTCCGGGTGGAAGAAGACCGGCACGCAGCCGGCCATGATGGCGTCGAACGCGGACCGGCGCGTCATGGTGTCGCCCGTCGGCTGCAGGCAGAAGCGCGTGCCCTGGAACACGCGCATGAAGTTGCTCGGGACGAGGCAGTTCCTCTGGTTCTTCCCGCACTGCACTAGCTTGCAGAAGCTCGACAAGCCGCATTGCCTGATGAGCTGGTGCCGGATGGAGTACGGGTCGTCCCGCGCGCCGCCGGCGAAGGAGAAGAGCCACTCGCGCTTCGTGGCCCGCATCCGCCGCTGCCACTCGACGACCTGCGCGTCCCTGGCCGGGTGGAAGTAGGTCGGGTACGGTATGGCGAAGTCGAAGCTCGTCCAGGGGAGCTTCTCGACGAAGAGCACCGTCATGTTCTGCACCGCCGGCAGGCGGAGGAGCTTGTTCCCCCACTCGGAGTCGCTGTCCGTCTGCCTCTGGTGGTCGTACGCCGTCCTCCCGGACAGGAAGAAGTGGTCGCGGCCGCCCATGGCGCGCCACTCGGCCCGGCGCGTGAGCCAGTCCACGAGGTCGAGCGGCAGCGCGTCCTTCTCCCGGGCCGTGGAGTTGACGCCCCACAGGTGCTGCACGACGTCGAAGCCGGCGTAGAACGGCACGAACACAGCGGCGGCGCCGGAGGAGTCGGAAGTGAGGCAGTCGTACTGCTTCATCCGGCTGTGGAAGATGACGTCCAGGCCGAAGTGGTCCGTGGCGTACCACCCTTCGTCGGCGAAGACGCCGTCCGCGTTGTCCACCGGCCGGCCCAGCCCGCCGTTCTCGAGGTACACGCACATGTCGATCCACGGGTACCAATTGCGGCAGTTGGCGAGGATGTCCGCGTTGAACCGCGGCGGGAGGTCGTGGATGTACACGTACCGCCCGCGGCAGTCCTCGTCGTCGTCGCGACGTCGCCGCTCGTGCCGTGCCGCCGGGAGTGCGTTGCTCGTGGCGGCGGGCGGGGCCTTCTTCACCTTGCTGAGCCGCTCCTCGTGCTGGAGCAGGAGACGCTGCCCGTCGCCGCTGTCGTCTGACGCGATCTCGGCGAGGGACCCGCGCGGCTCGCTGACGACCGGTGTGCCGCGGAGCACGGCGAGATGGAAGTAGATGACGAGAAGCCACGACGTGGCGGCGAGGAGCATGAGGCCCGGCAGCCACCGCTTGCCGCTGTGGGCGCCGGTCCTCTCCATGCTGCCACTACTGCGCCGCCTCAGACCTTGGAGCGCAGTGTAGGCTTGATGTTTATGTTCTGGCTTCGGAGAAGGCAGACGCGAGAATCTCATGCAGGCGGGCGTGAGAGCGAGGAACAGGGAGGTGCACGAGCACGAGTGACGAGGCATCGGATCCCCGATCGAGAACGAGGGGGGAGAAGGGCCGACAGATCTAACGCAGGGTCGTGATCTGAAGGAGCAGAGCACACACGGATGGCAAGTGCGGCAGCAGAGGAATTGACCGGGGAGATGCGCGCGTGGGCGTCGCATGCGCTGGGCTCATCGGCCAGTGAGGCAGCCAGTGACTGGAGACTGGACTGACTCGCGGGCCAGAGTCAGCACCGCGACTCTCGAGCGCTGCACATGGGACGCAGTCCTTGAGGAGTTGACACGGTGTTAAAAATTTTCATTAGCGGATCGTAGACCAAGAGCAGTAATGGCGGGCATTAATCACCCCTGCTCAGTCCTGGGGCCGCGTGCGGCGCGGCGGACGTTGGATCGCCGCGCGAAGCGAGACGCCTTCCTTCTTTGCATCCCGCGGGCGCGTGCTGGGCCAGGCGCCCAGGCGGCCAGGCGTGACGCAGAAGCAATTGGGGAGCGGAGTGCACGAGACGAGGTCTTTTGACATCTTCGCGTGAGGCTTGACACCTGACTCGTGACTCCCTGACCGTGACAGCCGCATGCACCGTGCAGCTGAAGCGTTTGCTTCGCTTGCCCCTGAAGGCCTGATAACCGAATTACGAGGTCCTGTATACCAAATCAAATCTGGCGTATTTTCTGTGGTCTTAAGTCTGAACTCAAAGTTCTCATTCTTAGAGTTCAAAGACCGTCAGCCTGTTCGTAGGTTGGTTTTTGGGCTGATAAACCTGACTGATGCTGGTTTGTTGTGAGAGGAAAATACTGTTGGCTGTTTGATAAGCCCTGGCTGAAATCAACAAACAAACATGCTGCGTCTCTCTTGAGATTCTAGCAGTCCTAGATGACAATATACGAGGTTCAGGTAATGTATAGTTTTTGACAGTGTATTTTGAGTTGCTTTGCAGACACCACAATTGTTGCTTTTCAGTTCACATAAAAAAAATGTTGCTTTCAGAGTTCAAAGACCGTCTCTTGAATTTCGAGTGACTGAGGTTCACAGTTTTTTTTCAAATAACAAGGTTGGAGAATCAGATGCAGTGACGTGATAGATTAACGAGATTCCATGGGCCAATTGAGCTCTGAACTGCTCAATTTGTTGACCGGTAAACAACTCAGCAGAGCACAATAAGGTGAGGAACAGAGAATCTGTACAACAGCAGACCCAAAATGTGTAGTCCCTTCCAATACCGTGGGCACCTATAAACCTCGTGTAACGAATACTGTATGAATCACATGTTTGAATTACAGGTGAAAGACGCGCCATTGCAACTAATAATATCATTACAATTTTCCCTTTCGTAATAATCAGATAATCAACTATTCTGCACTTCCTTTTCTGGCCACGCCGACAGAGCTACCGATCGGCTTGCACCGGTCGCACCGGCCGGAATCTGGACTCCGTGGAGGCGAAAAGGTTCGGAGGGTCCTCGGTGACCGGCCCGCCGCTGTCGACGTACTCACCGTTCCTGATACGCGCCACCGTGTTGAGGACCCCCTCGACGGCGACATCCACCGCGTCCTTGATGGTCTCCAGCTTGTACCTGGGGTCGGCGTACAGGACCCTCGGGATGAGCCTGATCACCTCCTTCCGCATCCGCTCCACCGCGGCCGGAGGGATCGCCCGGAGCACGGCCTCGATGCTCACGTTGCGCTCCCGCACGTCGGCGTCCGGGATGTACACCGAGTACCTGAGGTGGTCGTCCACGGGGAGGTGCCACCGGTACTGCTTGTACGCCGACCCGGGGTGGAAGAACACCGGGATGCAGCCGGCCACCATGGAGTCGAACGCCGACCGCCGCGTGCACGTGTCGCCGGGCGGCTGCAGGCAGAAGGTGGTCTTCTGGAACAGCCGCATGATGTTTCCCGGGGTGTGGCACTGGGTGCTGCCGGTGGCGCGCGCGCACCCCAGCATGGTGCAGGCGCTGGACGCCTTGCACTGCGCGATCACGTGGTCGCGGACGCGGATGTTGATGGGCACGTCCGGCCGCGGCGCGCCCACGAACGCCATGAGCCACGTCCGCTGCTGGCCGCGCACTCGGTCCTGCCACCGGATCACGTCGGCGTCCGACCTGGGGTGGAAGTAGGTCGGGTAAGGGACGGGGTAGTCGTTGCCGTGCAGCATCGCCGACTCCAGCACGAGCACCGACATGTTCCGGCCGGCAGGCATGACGAGGAGGTCGGTGCCCCAGTCCGGATTCACGTTGTTGCTCCTCCGGAAGTCCCACCCCGTCCGCCCGGCGACGAGGAAGTGGTCGCGGCCCCCCATGCGCCGCCACTCGGGCCGTTCCATGAGCCACTTGGTCAGGTCCACCGACGCGGCGTCCCTGGCGGCGTTGTCGTAGCCCCAGTGGTAGCGGACGAAGTCGAAGCCGGCGTAGAACGGGACGAACACGGCGGCGGCCACGGCGGAGTGGTTGGTCAGGCACTCGTACTGCTTCATCCGGTTGTGGAAGACGGCGTCCAGCGCGAACTGGTGCGTGGCGTACCACCCGGCCTCGCTCTTGAGCACGCCGTCGGTGCGGTCGGCCAGCGGCCTGCCGAGGCCGGCGTTGCTGAGGGCGCCGCACATGTCCCCCCAGTGGTCCTCGGTCTTGCGGCAGTTGCGGATGATGTCGGTGTTGAAGCGCGGCGGTAGGTCGTGCATGTAGATGTACCGCCCCCGGCACGGGTCGGCGCCGTCGTCATCGCCGTGGCTCACCTCCACCGTGCCGCTGATCACTGAGAAATGGAAGTAGAGGAAGAAGGTCCACGCTGTCACGGCGAGAACGGCGAGGAACCGCAGCGGCGGCAACGCGTTCGCCGCCGCCTTCTCCATTCCCTTCACTTCGACGGACCGGCGCGACCGATCCCGGCCGTGAGCTTTCCGTGACGATTTGATCAGCTGGGTAATCAAGAACCACGCGAAACTCAAAGCATCAGATCAAAGGGATGTGCATAGAGGAAGGAAGTTGAGGCAAGATTGGACGGTAGAAATGCATACGTGCCCTCACCAGTTGTATGGTGGAGTTGGCCACGCTAAGGTGCATGGTGGAGTGTAGCTAGAACAGTGAAGAACATATATAGCTGTGAACAGAATCATTTAATTCGGGAGGAAGAAGACGAAGCAAGCAAGATCTAATCTGTACTACTCTATACGGACATACGGGGAACGCGAGTGGTGATGGGTGAACTACAGTACCCCGTGGACGCTACCTACCCTTCATCCATTTATCTTAGCCATTGTTCAGCTCAATATGCATGTACTGTATCAAGGATCTAGTCAAAATGACTCAGTTAAGCCTGAAAAAAAAGATAGTAGTTATAGATATGGCAACGGTTTACATAAACAAAATGTCTCGTGCTGAGAGCTCTTATCATTGTATATTCTACTATACGCATCGAGCAACTCGCAAGCCACGCAGCACATAAGGCACGAGACGCTGGGAGAGGAAGCTCAGGTTAATCCGTCCCATGGTTCAGAGGTGATCACTGATCACCAAAGCCTAAGGGCGTCCCAACAGCTAGCTATTTGGCTAGCTATTCTAACGTGGACAGAAAAAAAGTAGAAGAGAGTAGTCGCTAGCGATGGCGAACAAATAGATGATCTATTTGACGTAGTTCAAAAATCTGATAGAGTAACCTATGAGCCCAATAATACATAGAAAAATAAAAATATATAAAATAATCTTTGTTTTGGTCTCTCACCTCCTCGTAATCTAACTCTCCTCATAATCTAACTACGTAGCTACCACCGTTACGGCCATCCTAAACACCGTTCCAACTTCAGGGACTACGTGAGTTGTACAGTTGGAAACCAGCTAGCAGCGAGTAGGTAGCCTCCGAGTAATTCTTTTTTAATAAAAAGTAAATAATTTTCAACTTTATAAGATTTTTTAGGAAATATAAAATTTCCAGCATTTGAGATCACACACAACCACGCTTTATACTGTTGTCAGCCTATTCGTTGATACAAGAACACACACAAATAGAAAAAGTCACAAGCAATAAATTTGTCATCCATTATTAACAACGGAAATACTCTGGTGAGGGCGTCCGCCGACGCCTCCCATCCCGGACGCTTCTTCCCAGGCATGTGGACCGGCCCAACAGGCCTCATATCGTCTACCTTCGTTCCTTCACAAATAAAAAAAAATACACAGCAACATTTTCCCATCTCGCATTGGCTGTCGCAGCGTTCCCCACCGCGTCGTCCGCCTGCTCTGCTTCGCCATCAACGGTCACCCTGTGCTGCTCCTGCTTCGCCGCTCCTATCACTGCTTGTCGGTGCGAAAAGTGACCAACAAGTAAATATTTATAGTTTTGTCGTGTGTTGTGATCGGATGTAGCCTAGCACTCAATGACATAGGGTTTATACTGGTTCAGGCAACGTGCCCTACGTCCAGTTTCAGTCGATCGGTGACTTTATTCCTGAGCCCAGTTGCTCGAAGATTGTTGTGGGGTTACAAACGAATATGAATAAAAATGGGGTGTTAAAGGCCCGGTCGGGCTCTGGACCGAAGGGCCAAGAGTGACGGGAGCTCCTACGTGCGCTAAGTATTGGAACATATGCTCTGTGTAGCTTTAGAGTTCTAGAGCCGTGGAGCTATTCGAGTGCTCAGAATATCTAAAGCTTAGCAGAGAGAGAGTCAGAATGACCGTCCTCCGTTGGGAGAGAGCGCATCCTCTTTTATAGGTGAAGGGGATGGCCTTATAAATGAGAGAGAGAGAGTGTGTGTGCTCATGTTTTACTAAGTCTTGTTGCCCACGCTGTCATGTACAAGACGGTCGTCGGCGTCCACAATACTGTTTATGTCAGACGCGTGTGGTAGGCTTTACCGTGTTTGCCTGGTATGGCAAATGAT